AGGTAGTCAATTATTTTGTTGCATTTACCTATTTTAACACATTTTTCTAGCCACCGATGCTGCAGCTTATTTATTATATTATTACCTTACAGTTTTAGTTAGTAGAATAAATAACGAAATTGTGGGCAAGTGGGTCACTGTAATGGATAGTGTTAAATTTGAATTCAATGTATAATAACATTGTATAAGAAAAACGATATTGAGCGAAGACCACCTATCAGTGCTTGAATTGGAAAAAAAATAGAAGGGGTATGCAAAAGTATAAAACATTTGTGCGTCCCCCCAACATTTAAATGTCTTATCAATTCTTGAAATTAGAAGGGGTACGCTAAAATATTTTAAAAAAAGAAGTTGGACTCCGTCCCCCCGCGTCCCCCCCCCCCCAATTCAACCACTGCCACCTATGATATTACTAACTAGGTACTAGGTGTATTTTATGCTATTATTGTAAATAAAATAATTTATAATATATAACCTATTTACATGGAACCTTCTTTTAAATTTTCAATCCTTAGCTATAAAAGTTGAATATTTTATACATTTAACTACAAAATCATTTTTCAATTTTCAATTTCATACATTTTATAAAAATTCGAATTTTAAATGCTTGTATAAAAAATTCTGCCTATGTATTTTTAATATTTTTCAACTGCTATTGTAACAATATATCAGAAGCCTTGTATTCAATTTTCACTCTTTTTGACCCAACAAATACAATTTTATTGACAATTATAGAAAAAAACTAAAAAAAGGTGGGCAAGTGGGTGTCGCTCTTCTGTACAGTAGGTTACAAGTGGGTCACTGTATAATGGATGATATTAAATTTGAATCCAACGATATAATATCATTGTATAAGAAAAACGATTCTGAGCGGAGACGGTATGTCAGTCTAGGTATAAGACATATTATATACATATCTATGATATTAAACAAAAAATTGACCTATAATAGGTAGGTACCTATAATAAATTCCAAATTAATCATATCACAATATCCATTAAGTACTGGTAACGCGTTATACATCAACAAAAACCGTGATACTATCATAGATATATAATAGTACACTTTAGAAGTTTCAAGTACTCACGAATAATATTATTCAATCACAACAAAATAACTAAAATAGTTATTCTAAGTTTTTTTTATGTAATTTTGTCCAAAGTTGAACTTAAAATGACTATAAAAATAAACTGTGCTCATGTATTTTTTAGATTTTTTGGTAACAGAATTAACTACTTACGTGCAATCTTTTTTAAAATTTTCAATCCTTAGATATAAAAGTTGAACATTTTATACATTTTTAACTACAAAATAATTATTCAATTTTAAATTTGATAAATTTTGTCAAAATTCGATCTTTAAATACTTATAAAAAAAATTGTGCCTACGTATTTTTAATATTTTTCAATTGCTATTGTAACAATATATCAGGAGCCTTGTATTAAATTTTTACACTTTTTGGCCCAACAGATAAAATTTAATTGATATTTATAGAAAAAAAAACTAAAAAAAAAAATTGAAAATGTCCGTAAACAGCTCAAAAAGAGTCAAAATATTTTCAAAATTGTATGGTGTATAGAAAATGCTAATTTAAACATTCAGTGAAATTTTCATGTATCTACAGTTGTTCGTTTTTGAATTACAACAAAATAAGGAAATCGATACATGAGAAATCGAGTGAATATCCAATGTTGTAAAAATTTGAATTTCAAACGCTCATAAAAATTTAATTTGACTTTCTTATAGAGATTTTTTTTTTTTGATAAAGGTAGATAATCTTATAAGGAATCTTGTATTACATTTTCAAATCTTAGAATTAAAAAGGAAAATGTTTATGAATTCTTAACTCAAAATAATTTGCTAATTTTCGTGATCAAAATTTAAATTTTGACCTCCCCAATGCACCAACGATATTCACTTTCCAATCGAACAAGATACTGAAGTTGAAAATCGAAGCATTATTTCGACTACTTATCGTGTACACAGACACAAAAAAAATAAAAAAAAATAAATAAATAAACACACATCATTGTAAAATCAATATCGTTTCACTCAGAATTTAAAACCACTCCAGAGTATGAAAAACGGGTGGTGGTATAACGTAGAGATATTATAATGTAGAAAACAAATATATTAATTTCAAACTAGAGTGAAAATTCTCTTTACGGACACCTCTAAATAGCAGGCACCTACAAATAGCGGACTAAATTTCAGTAACTGAGAGTTACCGGTATTTGAGGTTTCACTATATAAAAAAATCGTATAGAATTTAATATTCTCACCTGTATTTCATCAGAGAATAAAATACACACTACTGACTAAAAAAAAATATACTTTGCAATGGTTTTTATAATAAACCACTGTTATGTCTTAATTTAACTGCGATTTGATTAATTACATAGTTTCAATAATATAGAAGGTCTCAGACACTCATTATTATTCCAAAAACTATCAACGTTTTGAAAATATATTTTTTACGTTGATTTGTTGAATATTATTAGTGTAGTGTAGGTATGAAGAGAAACCTTGTATTATGTAAAAATTATTATATTAATTATTAATGCCTAAAGCAGAAGTGATAAATCGGATTAAAAGCGTTCTCGGAAAGTAACATATTATTATTGTTATTCAGCTCGTGCATAGTATACAAGTGTATACAAGTATACAACGAAATATAATATATAATTTATTGTTGGTTAACCTCGAAATGCATTTTCACTTTTCAGATCTAATAAAAGTAAACATTTCAAATATTATTCTGTAATAAAATATAGAATACGTACATCGTTGAGTTTTCAAAAACTGGTAGACAATTAGTATTAGCAGCTAGTGGTAAAAATGTTATTAAAATTCTCTAGGGCACTACAAAAATACTAAACATGTTTACATGTGGGTCCATAGCTGTAATGGATGATGTTCAGTCCTATAAAGTATTTGAGTAAAAGTATTCAAATACTTTTTTAAGTATTGAATAACTTTTTAAATACTTTCAGCATGAAGTATTTTGAATGGTATTTTACATACTTTTTTTGTATTAAATACTTTTTGGTATTGAATACTTTGGTTTTTTATTTCGAACATTTTATTTTTATTCGAAATAATGTTAGAAATTTTATAATAAATTAAGAACACAAAATAGGTAGTATCACCAATGGGTGGTTTCTTCCCTCAAAATATCAATCATACACAAATACCCTATGCACATTTGCTTATTGTTCTAGTTAAGAACAGATTGTAAATTTCATGTAAAAATAAAAAAAAAATGTAATAAACATTTATTTAATAAATAATAAATAAAAATGATTATAAATTTACTACCTATGTGTCTATATTACAATAATTAGAAACCCACTTTAAAAACCAAAAGTATTTGAAAAGTATTCCAAATACTTTTTCAAAGTATTTGAGTAGTATTTTAAATACTATACAATTAAAGTATTTGAGTAGTATCTTAAATACTTAAAAAAAATGTATTTGAGTACTTCCTCAAGTACTTTTCAAAAGTATTCTTTACAGGACTGATGATGTTAAATTTGAATTCAACGAGATAAAAAATCATTGTATACCAAAAACGATTCTTAACGTCTTCACTCTTCCTATAATATTATTAAGTATATTTGATGATGTTATTGTGATTAAAATAATTTTTACAATTAGGCATTTTAGGCATTTTTTACAAAAAAAATACATTTGAAAATTTCATTGTGTATAAAATATAATAATTAGAGTAAGTGTCATATATCCATGAATAATACCTTTAAATAACAACAAAATAACCATAATCGTAATTCTTGGTTTTAATATGTAATTTTGACCAAATTTGAATTTAAAATGTCTGTGCAAAATAATATTGTGCTTATATATTTTTTGGTTACAGTATAAACTATTTATGGGAATCTTTGTTTTAATTTTTTAAATTTTTAATTCTTAGCCATAAAATTTAAATATTCTATAAATTTTTAATTACAATAATTAAAAATTTTCGAGATTTTGATAAATGATGTCAACATTTTAACTTTAGACACTTATAAAAAATTATTACAGATTTATACTAAACCTTTTGTTTGATCTCCACTAACATCAACTCAAGGAACTTTGTATTAGATTTTCATGTTTTTTGAATGACCAAAATATATTGTATAGACAATAGTTAAAAAAAATCTAATAAAACTCATAATTTTCTTATGCCTATTATATGCTCAAAAAGAGTCCTCATATTTCGAAATTGTTATTATAAATATTCAGTGAAAAAGCCATCAATATGGTTACACTGAAAAACAAAATTAAATTTTTCAAGAACTGGTTTTGCATAAATATTCAGTTTTTCTTTAATTTTTTATTTGTTTTTCCTGGCGCTTTTGAATACTATTAGGAAAAAAACACATATCATGGTAAAATCAATATATCAGAATCTAAAAGAAATTTCATTATTCAGAAAATTTACCACTTTTAGCCCAATTTTAACAGTTGAGCTTAAAAGTTAAAGATAACAGCTCAGGTTAGGTTATGTGGTGGAGGTTTGCATAGTGCATTATTTTTATCTAAAAACAAAAGGAAAGTATAATGAATTTGCATTATAAAATGCTTATGCTTAATTCATTTGTATTACAAATTTGTTAAAATATCATGTTTAGAACATATTGAATAGCTAAAATTAAAATTAAAACTAGTTTTACAGACTTCAAAAACTGAGGAATTTTATATTTTCCTAATATTTGATAACAAAATGTATTTTATAAAAACAATTTGAATAATTATTAAAAAAAAAAGTTTATAAGATATAACTAGGTATTAAAGTTAAATAATTGCTTGTATTCTATTAATTTGTCGTAATAACAATAACAAATACATTATTACCATTCAACTTCTTGAAATTTCAGAATAAAAACATTAAATTAGAATAAAATAATAATCATTAGGAAGAAAAGAAACAATTAATGTATCATATTATATAATACAACGTGACAAAAAAAAAAAAAATAATCAAAACAAGTAATTTATTAAGGAAACTGAATAGCTCGCAAATCCTTTAGTAATGGCTCCAGTATTTTTTCTAGCCCTAATATATTGCCAGTGTTTGCTTTTTCAGAAGCCACAAATGTAATTAAGAATCTTGAGCAATTTAACTGGACTACCTGTTAATAAATACAAATCAAGATTTATTTATTTATTAATATATGTTTAAAAACTATATTGCCTATTATATTATTAACTATGTACTGTAGCGTACGCAGGATTTTAGTTTGGTTAGGGACTTAGGGTAAGTAAATAATTTACATTAAGTTTTTAAATAATTGGTTATAACAAATTATAGTTGGTCTCAAATTTAGTCTACATTTAGAACACTCAAGTGTTCTCGGGACACCTGGTCATCTATACAACCTCTACGGGTCATAATGAACCTAGTAAAATTCAATATTTGATGGACGATGATACATGATGATACACCATACGACGATTATGGCAGACGTTTAGCAATGTTCTAAATCAGCAAAAAAAAAAACTGAAACTATGATTATCGACGTCTTAGTCATATTTAACAATTTATTATATATTTATTAAAAATGACCAACAATTGATCAACTCTGTGTATTGAAGTGGTGGTAAGTAAGATTTTTTTGTAAAAAGAAGAAATTTGATGGGGGGCCAGAACCCTAGAACCCTAACTCTGCGTACGCCACTGACTATGTAAGACAAAATAAGTTGAAATATACATTATTTAAATAGAATTAATATAAATATATAATATTAATCTTTTTCATACAAATAAAAAGCTAATTAAATACAGTATAAATTATAAAACAGTTTTTGATTATTTTGAATGTCACTTTAATTTAAAATTTAAATTTTAGCTTATGAAAAAAATATTAATAATAAATGGTATATAAATAATATTATTTCATTATTTTCATATAGAAATTTTATTATTTTGTTACTTAAGGCGTCCGGTCCCAATGTAATTTTGTACACAAAAATACGCTCTACAGGAATAATGATCCTGGTTTGTAGAATCAACCAAATTTGATAATTTTTTTTTTTTTAACTAATGGAGGGTAATATTATTCAGGCCACGTCAAACTCCGTTTTTCAATATTTTAATCTCAAACTTTATAATATGTCTTCAAAAATAATACAATTTTAAGTGTTTTTTTATAAATTATATTATACCATTATTTGAAATAAAATAAAAAATCAGAGTTCAATGCGGCCTGTAAGAAATCTTCTTCTTTCAGATAAAAAAATAGTTATCAAAATCCAACAATTCTACAAGGCCTAAGAATTATTCCCGTGATGTCATTTTTTTCTGTATTAACCCACCCCTGAATATTTATCGGGTTCTAGATTAGTGAAAAAGTGTTATAATTAAGGTGGCAACTAAAATATAAAATTTAATTTTCAAATTGTATAGAATTGTGGACCATTTTAAAAACTGTCACCGGGGGCCCTTTAATAGCAGTGCTCTAAACACACTGCGGTATTTTTGCAGTGGAGTCCAAATGGTTCTACCGTTCACGGATGATGCTGCCGTCAAACCGTTGCATGTTGCGGTGACCAACGGCAAAGAACAGCAAAACCGTCGAGTGGATGCTGTCCATCTAAATATAGTAGTTTGGTTGTGAACGTAAAAACCGTTGGGATCAAACCATTTGGACCTGACGGCAAAAATACCACAGTGCGTTTAGAGCCTAAGTCTAATAGTGCTTAAGTAACAAAATAATACAAACACAAATCATCAATAAATTAGGAATCTACATATTCAACAATTTATAACATAAAATTTTAACTTAAAAATAAACTACCTTATAATATATAAAACATTAAATACACACTTGATTATTAGTATAAAAACAAATCACTGTTTTGTTTTTTCCAAGTTCTAATTTTCCTGCTTGTTCTGATGCAGAATTAAATTCTGATAAAAATGAATGTTTGTAATTTGAATTGTGTTCAGATGATTTGTTGGCATGAGCTATAACATAATATTGTAAGGTAAAAAAATGAAAGTTTCATCAATAACAAATAAATTATTTAGATAGTTGATAAAAAATTTTTTTTATTAGAATTGTGAAAAATATATAGTTGATGTTGCTAGTACTTACCTTTTAAAATAACAACACCATCATGATCAGATATCAGAATTGAGTAAAGACCTTCAACCTTAGTTAAGGTTTGGTATAAATATCTTCTTAAATCCTGAAACAATTAATTTAATATATATATATCACTACTTTATTCAAGCGACCTGCCCACCTAGATGGGTTTCCATGATACAGTGTACAAATTCAATATTAACATACATAGTTTAGTATTTTGGTTACACAATTTTTAAAAATTACATTGATTAAATATAATATTATATACCATACAATATTTAATCAATGAGTGTTTGCTTAACATTGAAATGAAACGTATAATGAATAGGATGCTCAAAAAACACAGTTTGAACAAAATAAAAATAAAAATTTAAATTTAAAAGAGAAAAAAATATGCCCATGTATAACCTAAAATAAAGAATAGAAAAAAAAATTAAAATCAGCATATATAAGCTCATGGAGTTAATAGCCTTATTAGTTATTACTGTTATTAGTTATAATGATCAGATTCATTTTTAAATTGTGATTTAAACAAAATCGTGTAGGTTGAAGGTACCTTAGAAATAATATTTTCTACCACATATTGTTATATATAATAATTAATAGGTATGTACCACTAATATTATTTTAAAAATTATTAATTTAGCAAAAACTATTTACACAGGTATTTAAATATTTTGTTGCTAAATATATTATATTATGTCAAAGGAAAAAATGATTTACCTCCATGGTTTATTGTATTGTATTTTGAAGCGTTAGGTAGGTAGTGATGTAATTTTTAAAAAATAAATGTTTTCAAAAGTAAAAATAGAAATTGAATAGAAATTAATGTAAGAATTATTTACAAAATCTCAGTAACCATTAATCTTAAACTCAAATTTTTGATTAATAAAATATAAAAATGTTAACACTGACGTTATCACTCTCCAAGTTGCGACCATTGATAGATACAACAACAGACAGCGTTATCACAGAATAAGTTATTCTTTGGTGTCATTTCATCTGGTTACGTACCACCTAGATCCCGCGACAAGTAGATCCCCGTACGTCAACTGGATCCCCTTGGACATTTAGAACCTCATAGACATATGGATCCCATACTAACTATAATCTCCTTCGTCATTTAAATACCCAGATTTTGGAGGTAATTTTAAAACTTATAAAAATACGTAAGTACTAATAAATATAGTTTAATTTATTCAACTATAAAATAGCATTTATAAGTTAAAAATATTTATAAAATATAAACTATAGGAGTATAAACTATTAGGGACGTTTATTTTTAGGTTTATCGGTTGAGGCTTAACCTGTCGACAGACGGACGCATTTTTCAACGCGATTGTATTAGTCAACTATTTAGAATTAAGGAAATTCCTCAAAATAGATATGAAAAAATCTATAAATTGTCAAAAAACGATGCTTGTATGTTGTGTCATATTATTGTCTTCGTTATTCGGTAATCCCTACCTTATCGAAATCCAAGTCTGAGCCGCCCAAAATTTGCGACAATTATCATCACACAAACTCCCGAATATTCCGATGCCACCGTAGTGGCTGAAGTAAGGTATAATAATGTGCTCGGTGGACACAATTTGCAAAGGAGCTCCATACCTTAACAAATTGCTTAATATGTATTAATGTGTATTCTGATTTCTGGAGTCTAAACATATTATGTATTATAAATAAAAATTATAACATTTATTTGTAGGTACTAACCAATTTTTAATTTTTTTAATTTTAATAATAATATTAAGTGTTCAAATTCTCAAAATAATATACAATCGTTGTATATGAAAACATATGTTTTTTTTGGTTTTTATAGGTTAGACCTTAGTGGGCCGATTTTTTAGTATCCCGATAGACATTTTTGACCCAGTCCGGCCCTGTGTGAAGGGCGCGAATCGCCATATATTATATTTGTTTTTGTGTTAAATTATTTAAACAGGCACAAGTAGCAAGCTTGAGAGTTTTTATACATATTATTATTATTATAGTTTTTACGAGCTTACTGCTCAAACGACGGTATAGCTATACCTATATTTTATTCTGTCTGGCCAGGATGAGGGCCACATATTATTATACGTATCGCACTGTTTTGGCTTACGAGTTACGGTCCGTGCTTAATTATTATTTTATCTGTCGTTTTTGTACTGTAATACAGCAATATTTAAATACCGTTATGTTTTAGTTACCATTTTTTTGAGTTACATTTCTGTTGTTAGTAGTTATTTCTGATTTCAGCACACGCCCGTCACCCACACATATGTACACACACATTTACACACCCACCACACACTAGCCTTGCCGAGCAAGTCTTTGATAGTCTTGCTCGGTGAACCCGTCCACTTCGACCGAATTGCGAATACATGTATGCACTCATCATGCGCAGGTCTTTGGGGTGTGAAGTGCGATACGAAGTATTGTGGATACCAAGGTCTATTGTTGTTCGTTTCCGGCCCAAACACTCGTTTTTAATAACCGTGTTTTAGCTACTAAAATTAAGGGTGTCAGAAATTAAAACAATTAGTTACACTTTAGATTCATTTATTAGGCATTAGAAAACATGAGATAAACATTAGGTACAAACAATACAAACAGCAGCTACAACACGTCGCGGAGCACATGAAAGTCGTGCACCGCGGTAGCTATTTTAATTTTAAACAACATTAGAACACGTCCCGTCGGCGGAGCACATGACCGCGGTCGTGTGTATAAACAGAAGGAGGCAGAAATACAACTGATTCAGGGCCTCGGCTTGGAGAACCCGAGGAGGTGGCTATCAGCGGGACCACGCTATCAACTGTAAGTATAGAAATTATATATAGGTACTTGACAACAGAAAATATTTTACAGTTTAGGTGGTATGTTGGAACGTACCTCAATTTTATAATTGTTGACGATATTTAAACGATGGTCATGACTTTCGTCATAAGCCCAGTCAGACATTATTTTCTTTGATCTTACCCTATACACCATTTGCATGTGTGGTGGTAAGTCACGATATGCATTGTAATTTGTCCCCGCAAACTTAACAGGCTCTGTAAATAAAATAAAAAATTAAACGACAATATAGAAAAAACTTGTGTTGATATAGTTTTTGTCGTGCTTTTTTTTTGCTTATTATAATATTTTTAAGTTCTTATATGAATGCTCAGGTATATGAAGTATTTAAGTGCTTTTTTTTATGTATAGGTGCTCTAAATCCCGAACCCCGCGGTTATGACTGTTATGAGTGTATATACAATTTTACAATTTAAAAATTCACATATCCGACATGTTCTTAACTTTGTTGTATAATAGGTCAAATCACCCTAAAACTAAAGATAACAACACAAGGTCCGTTCTGCTAAACACACATTATGTATGTTGAGCGTGGGTTAGGGAGAGAAAAAAAAACTGTACAGACATCCTCTTAATAACAACTGCAAAAATTACAAGAAATAATAATATAATATTATTATATACAATTTGTTTTAGCAACAAACCTACCCATAATATGACTAATAGAAAAATTAATTACGAAATAACAATATAAATACCTATATTAAAATACCCAGACAAGTTACTAAAAAAACAAGTCCGTCTCTTCTCAAAATCGTTTTTCATACGCAATGATTTATCATATAGTTATTATATAAAAAAAAATGCTAACATATCCATTACAGTGACTCAATAATGTGGTACACACAACACTTATACAGCAGTAGATTTTAAAACTATTTTAAAACTAAAAACAATTACCCTCATCCATCTGTCGTATACGCCGTTTGACAGACGCACACAATAAAAAAGAACAATTATTATTAAGCACTTTTATTAAAACTCTTACGTCCAGTGGCGATCGAAACACACGATCACCGCTGACTGACCCCTATCTATCTTCCCATATTACTTATATATTAATATTATAATTTACAATCGAAGCACTATTTGTAGTATCGATATTAAGTTTAACCTAGTTTCATTATACTTACTGACTATGTTTAAAATTATACTAAATGTTTTCGTATTACATTGAATGTTTACTTAACCTAGTTAACAATATTTTTATGCATGATACTACACACCCCTATGTAACACAAAATATGTCCTCATATTTTTAAGTAATTATTGCAGTTGAGAATGAAATTTAAATTATATATGGGTTTTGTATATAAAATTAAATAGAAGTTGATGGTGATGGAGTTACGTGGTCAACAAAAATTAATATTTTTACGCCTTTTTTTGGTCTTCTCTCAAAGAATTGGTCGTTGGATATAGATTTAGAAGTCTTCTTTCCAGTCCTTGGATTGGTCGAACATTTTTGTGTACCTATCGGTGTATCTCTGATGGACGATGATTTTTGTTTGAATCGCTCGACCTTATTATTTCGTCACATGTATTTTAATCTATTACAATTGTCAATGCCAAGGTTTGATAAAAAAAAACAGTATGTAAAATTATGTAGTTTTACAAATAATTGATAAATAAGACTATAAAACCCAGGTCAACCATAAGGTAAATGGTAAATAATATGTGATAACATGATTACAAATGTTAAAAAAAAAACAATAAATAATTTTGAATAGAAGTGAAATTTTACAATATTCTTGTATACAAATAATAAGATGTTGTTAAAGATGCCAAATAAAGGTGTTATTTAAAAGTTATATAATATGATACTTATAAATGTATAATCACAGTAATTTGCTTACATACCAACAATTTAACAATCGATTGAAGTATTGAACAGATAGTTTCATATAAAAATTAGAAGTATGCTGAAACAGCAAAAGCATAATAGTAATAACAATTTTTGTTAGGTTTTAAAATTTAAAATTTAACATGATGAAAGTATTATAAACCTCAATAATGTAAACAATGTAGCATTATAGGGAAAAAATTATATGCAGTTTTAATAAAAGTATTATTGAACTATAATTTCACAATATTAATAGATACGTATGTAATTAATTATGATATTGGTATGTTTAAAGTTACACTAGATAAAATATTGTATGTATATAAAATATGTAGATATGTGCTAAATATAATTTATATTTTATACATTTCTAAAAACTAATAATTTTTATAGACAGAAAGGAAAAACATAGTTAATAGATGACTGAACTAGAGATAAAAAGTTATATTAAATATATCAATATAAGATATTAGATTTATTAACTTTTTTTTTTTTCTATATATATAATGTTTTAGTTTATAATTATTCACATACAGTATAATTTATACTTTTTTTTTTTATCTAAATAAATGGGTATAAATATTTATGTATATTGTATATAATATGTATTGAGTATTTTATTAATATATTTTTTTTTTATTATTCATTTCTAGGTGGAATTGGTGGTGGCAAGGTCATAAATTCGCTTTTAATTATTACAGGATAAATTTTGTAAATAATGAAACCTATTGTGATTGTGAGGATTGTTAGCCATGTTAAGTATATGATGTCTCCTAAGAATTCATCTACAAATGGTTTGTTAATTTTTTTTAGGATGATATCATTTAAGTATTTATCTATGTTTGGTATTTGTTTAGTGACGTGAAAGTTTGGTATTTCTTTGGTCCAATCTGTATTTAATATTTCTGACATATTGGTAAAGTACATATTATTATCTTTGGTTTCTTCATAATTGGTTTTTAATGACTTAATTTTTGTCCAAGATACTGGTAATATTCTATTAATTTTGAATTTGTTTAGGTTATTAGATTCACATGGGTACATTTTT